AAATATATTTTAATTAAATATAATTAATATAAGAAAAAAACATGTTGGAGGTATATACATAACATGTGATAATTAACTACTAAACAAAATAAATGTGGCTTTATTTTTCCTCATAAATCAATCACAAAATTTGTCATACAACTTTTGTGTTCGAAATTTAGTGAACATATATATGTCAAAAAAATTATTTGCAATACGAATATTTGTCACAAAATTTGTTAAGTGCTAATTTTTTGTTACAAAGTTCATTTTTTTGTAGTAACCTTTCAAACTAAGAATACAATACTTGAATAAATACCCACCGACGTCAGATCTCCATTAGGTGCTCCACCATATTTTCTTATATCAAAAACAGCAGGTTGAGCTAGGATTGAAGATGCTAATAGTAATAATAAAGCACAAATATAAATAATACTCAAATTTGCGTCCATATCTTGTTCTTCTTCTTTGAATTCTATATAGGCCTTTACTTTTTTTTTTTTTTTCCTTTTCTTGTTCAGGTAGAACAATGTCTGCTAGAGTTGTAGTATAAGATGGTGAAACCCCATTAGACAGAGCTATTTATATTGTTGTGACAAAACTGAAAAAAGACACATAATAGCCAAATAATGAAATTACAAACCTGTAGTTGTTTTTGTTAAAACAAGGTTATAACCTTTTACCAAAAAATGAAACAAGTTTATAACCAAAGCCCGTTTATTTAACAATTATAATTCACGTTTGGGATGGGATGATTAAAATTTTCCCGAATTTGAAGATTTTGTTTCAAACCAAGCTTAAGGGAACAAACTATAGACTTGAACACAAACTATCATCGTCCACTTTTGCAAGATAATTTCTTTGGGAATTCAAATATTGTTACTGGAAAATTTATTTTGTGAGTTAATCATATATGCATAATTTTCAAATAGTTTTTTTTTTTTGGTTAAGTTGCAAATCTACCCATAAAGAATTCTGCAATGAGCTACTGGCATCCTTAACACAAGTATGGTGCAATTTTAAGTAAGTGTTGTGGGTCCTACTTATTATGCCCCATCTAAATGGATTAGAGGCAAAAATTTCCATAAAGTAATACGCTTTGATTCAATTTTGCCCATCAATCCTAAAAACAATACAAAAATCCCTAATCCATAATAAAGGTACATGTTATCAAACGTAGACCATAAATGTAAAAAACATTGATATTTTATTTGACTCGTAGCCCAAACGTAGAAATATATGTGTTCAAAAGAAATTAACCTTAGGCACAATATATTATTTTGTCACGTCACATCCACATAAACATACTTTGATTTAAAACTCCTATGGAAGCTCTCCAACTCCTGCCTTCCTCCTCTTCGCTATTCAAGTTATAGTTCAAACCCTCTTTTCTCTCATTCTAGCTGTGAAGTGTGATGAAATAAAATACTGTGCCTAAGGTTTGTGCTAGTCAGGACAAATATGAACACATGTAATTCCTTATTTACGCTTCAAGTAAAAAAAAAATTCATTTATTTTGACATTCATTGTCAATTAATGTTTGACAACATATGTCTTTGTTTTAGATTTGAGATTTTTGCATCATTTTGTAGGTTTTTTGTGAAAAATTGCACTACGGAACAATACATGATAGATATATATATATATATATATATTTGCCCCTAATCCCTTCACAAGCGGCATAATGGGTGGGACCCACAATCTTTACTTAATAGGTTAAAGGGTAGAATTATCTAGCAATTTTTTCTCCCAGGGCACCCACTATCATTAACTGAACAAAGGTACAAGAGTGTTCATGAACTTGTTTTAATGAGTACTACAATCCCCATCCTATTAAATTTGACTGACGTCCATTAACATTGATCATTAAAAATAACAAAGCAAATATAAAGTGCAAAAATATTCAAAAACTTTTTTCTAGGAGCTTCTGGAATCCTTAAGTCAACAATGGTACATGGGTATTCATTAACTTCTATAAAAGAGGCCACATAACTAAACATGACCCTAACATCTCAAGCTTTTGGGATTATTAGGCTAACCCAAATACCCAAATTATTAAATATTATTATCTTTTTTAATGTTAATAGATATTCATGCACTATTGTTGACTTAAGGATATCAAAAATTCTTGTAAAAAAAGTATCTGAATTTTTTTACACCTTATGTTTGCTTTGTTTTTTTTTTTTTTAGCAATCAAACATTAACTGACATTAGTTAAATTTAACAGGATGGGAATTGTTGTACTCATTAGAATAAGTTTATGAGTACTCCTACACTTTTATTCACTTAAAGATATTTGGTGCTCCTAAAAAAAAAGTTGCTAGGTGTTTTTTCCCTTTAAGCCTTACTTAACGGGCGCTTGGCCATCATCATGAATGGGGAATTTTTGCACCATTGTTTAGGGTTCATGGATCAAATTGCACCATATTTGAATTCAGGATTCTAGTAGTTCTTTGTAGAATTTTTTATGGATAGGATGCTCGCTTTTATCCTAGTTTTCTTTTTTTTTTTGTTTTTTGCATTTGTTAGAATTAAATATATAATTGTTCAAAAATATCCCTATAAAAAATAATTCACCATCATATGCATATTCTACATTCCCAAATTTATTTTTTTATGGATATGTAAATACGCGGTTTTATTATATGCGCGCTTTTTCCTCCCCTATTGTGCAAACATAGATGCATTTTTTTTTGAAATAAATGCTAGGTTGGGTAGGGGAACTTAATAAATATGTTAGTTGGTATATTTCTCATTTATGTGCATATAAATATAGGGTAAATTACATATAGGTCATGTGGAGTAGATTTATTTATAAATAAATCTCACAAAATTCAGAAACCATAGCCAAATCTTTTGAGACTTAAGTGTAATTTAAAATTAGGCTACAAAGATGATGATACCCTTATTAAAAATACATTATATCAATCAAATAATTACAACTACTTTATTAGTAATTTACAATTATAATTTTAACTTTTTACAATTGAATAATCATGTGTTACTAGCAAAATTTAATTATTAAATATATGAAATTTCAATTATAAAAAGTTAAAGTTATAGCTGTAAATCATTGATGAAATAATTATAAATTATTTGACTGATATAATATATATATGTTTAATAGGAGTATTAATTTTTTTATACTAATTTCAAATTACACTCAGGTCCCAAGGGACCTAGTTTTGGTTTTCAAATTTTACAGGATTTATTTATAATAAATTTATTCTATGGGACCTATATGTAATTTCCCATACATATAAGTAGTTTCACATGTACATACGTTTAAGTGTATATTTTGCATTGATAAAAAGGCAAGCGGAGCCTTGAGAAAAATAATTATATCAAACTACAAAATAGAAGGAAAAAACTCTAAATAATCCTATTTAAGTCTTCTAGATATATAGGCAAGACATCCTGTAGGAATTTCAGGGAACAAAGAAATTTCAGTACTTGACTGAGAGCTCTTTTTTTTTTTTTTTTAAATACATGGCCATGGAAAACCATGTGAAAAAATTAAGATCTAGTTATGTCCAATGTCAAGAAGCTTCTACAATCTCACAAGGGCTCATCGAAGATCATAATATCAAAGTTGTTTCGTAATGTTTGATGATCAGTGCATTTATTTTTTTCCCTATAAATATGGTCAAAGGTGACCATCTAATTATTTATAGTGAGAGATTTTCTTGATAATATTGGATAAAGATGAGTTCCAAGGTAGTTGTTGCTAATGAGAGACAGTGCCTCCATCGAATTAAAGTAGATGTTAACTTTGGATAATTTCTCTTTTTAGCTAGAATAATAGCCAAGAAATTTAAAAAATCCTTTAATTCAATTTCCTAATTATCTCTGATTCCTTTAATTTAGCCATGACATCTGCACGTGTGATACTTTCTAATGAGTCAGAAAAAAGCTGGATTTCGGAATATCCTAAACTCTTACATATCTTAAGCCCGTTTTTGATAGCCCAGAGTTCAGCTGCTACTATCGATTGTGGACCAAGTTTCCTTTAGAAGCCCAAAATCCAATTTTTGTTCAAATTTCTTAGAACCTCTCTGCAAGTACTAACAAAAGTTAATTCATTAGTAAAAATTTGGTCCATAATTCTCAAAATCTTAGTTCAAATCCTGCCGTCAATGATAAGTACTCTTTGCATTTGGAAATATGCTTGGAGTCAAGTGAGCCTTTAAAATATAACTCAACCAAACTTTTTTGTACCAGAAAAAAAAAAAAAAAGACCTTCGCAAGCTGTCCGCTTCTCTGGGTTGAGAAATCCATCTACTTTTTCTCCAAAAAGCCATCATAAAAGGGTGGGAGTAATTGACATTTGAGTTTTTTGCTACGTCATTAGCTGGAAAAGCCATGCTTTTCATCTTCTTTTTTCTTTTTCTTTTGTGGCTGACAAGTCAACCTTTCATATATTTGACATTTGAAATAGATTAGCTAGTAATTTGTTCATCGAAAGAGAATAAGATTTCCACTAATTTTATGATGAAAAAGTCATTATTTGATAAGCTGAATTATTGGTCTTTCAATTGAAATATAGAGCATGGCTTTTTTTAATTAACATGTTAGCATGGAAACTAGCTTTCATTTCCCATATATAATCACAAAGTATTATAACTTGAACAAGCAGAGCATTATATGATTAATCAACAACGCTCCTAAACTCAAGAAACTAAATCATTTGAACTTTACAAAATTACGGTCCCACATAAAAACAATAAAATAACATTATTTAGAAAAGTACTTAAAACCAAACCAATTATTAAATTAGTCAAAATACTAGTTCAAGAGTTAATGATTAAAATTATTGAATCATGATCAAATTAGTCATCCACAAAGTATTTTATTAAATCATTTAAGATATTGATTTAATGGTTTACTAGTTCAATCGGGCAAGTAGATTTCTATACTATACTTAAAAGTACTAAAAAGCTCATCTAAACATTAGGGATCATTGATTAATTGACAGTTAGCTAGTTAGCTCCATGACAAGGTAAAAACAGAACACTAAAATATAACCAAAAGTCCAAAAACCTTGGGTGCAGCAGTAGCTTCATTGACTGTAAATTAATCATGAGTAGTATCCATTTAAATCATCTGAGCGATGCCTTTGCATGGTTGGTCGAGATGAAGGGTTTGTCTGTAAACGTGAAAGAGCAAGATCTGCAATCGAAGTCACTTCCTTCAACTTTTGCTGCTTTGTAGGAGGTGACATACGTGGATCTAGAATCTCATTGAAGTTCATGTTTTGACCATCAAAGGATTGTATGTGGGAAATCAGATCACCAGCATGCTTTCCCATGAGAATCTCAAAAAGCCAATACACCAAAGCTAAACACATCACATTTCTCAGACACTGCAATTGTATATGCTAGCTCTGCGTCATTTAGAATGAACTAATCTTATTTGGATGACTAAGAAACAAACATGAGAACTAGAAAGAAAGCTCAGGTCCAAATTCATGAGAATATTAAGACAACATTTTTTTTTTTTCAAGAAATTAGATGTCTCAAATAGAGTTATACATGGTTTAATACCCAATTTACCTGGAGCAGCATACCCATGTGTGCCAGCAAATGTTGTCCAAATTGATGATGAGCTAGCCTTCAAGAACCTTGCTGTGCCAAAGTCTGACACAATGGCTTCAAGATTTGCAGACAATAATATATTATTTCTTGATATGTCTCTATGAATAATTGGTGGATCACAATCATGATGCATGTAAGATAAAGCTTGTGCTACACCTTTGACAACACCCACCCTCTTAGGCATCTAACTCTATGAGACATAGAAGTGAGTGATCCTTGTGAGCAAAGTCTACAGAGGTTCGCTATGTTCCAATGGCGCATTTCTGTCAAGGCTTTGATTTCACTCTTGAAGGATTTTAAACTTTCAATGTCTATGTCATCTTCTTCACATCTAAACTTTACGGCAAATTGTTCACCTCCTTGCATGACCATGTTGTAAACTTTTCCAGAAGATCCTTCCCCAATACAATACCTGCCATCAAAGTTCTCTGTTGCTTCAATAATTTCTTTATACAAATCTTCCCATCAAAGTGACATATTAAAAATGGACTTTCTTTCTTGATTCCTGAATTATTCTGTTCTAAAACTCTTGAGTTTTCTTTTGAACAAATAAAAAAAAAAAAATCCCAACTAACACCACTGTAACAAGTAGTACACCTGCTAAAAAAGCAAGAATAGATATCACAATTTTGTCTTTGTTGCTTCCCCCATGTGATATCGAAACATTGCAAGGTCTCAAACCTTGGATTCTCCCACATAAATATTTGTTATTACTCAAATCTAATGGATAAGAAGAATTAAAAATGCCACTATTTGGGGCAGGACCCTCCAAATGGTTGTAAGAGAGGTTGATGCTTGACAAGCTCAACATTGTGCTAAGGGAATCAGGGATAGAACCTGATAGATTGTTATGAGACAGATTCAGATCAGACTTATCAGGTTGTTAAGCTTACTAAGATCCACAGGGATTTCTGCAGAGAGGGAATTAAAACTCAAGTCCAAGAAATCTTCTAAGGAGTCAAGATTCCCAATTGGATATGAGAGTGCCATTGAAGTCATTATGACTCAAATTTAAATTGAGCAGATAAGGAATGGGTCCACTTAGCCTGTTTATTGACAGGTCTAACGACTCTAAATTAGAAAGACGTCCAAAGCTTGTAGGCATCATACCTGAAATATTGTTTCTGTTCAATTTCAGAAGGTATAAGATGGAGGCATTTCTGATTTGTGGTGGAATCCCACGAAATATTTGGTATGATGACAAGTCAAGCTTTTGCAACTTTTTCAACTGAAATATCTCAGCAGGAATATTTCCACCAATTGAATTTCCAGCCATGATCAGAGCTTCTAAGCTTTGGCAGGCACCCCAATTTGCAGAGAGATCACCTTGCACTCTGTTGAAGCTGATGTCAACATAAGTGAGATTAGGATGAACACCAAAATCCTGATCTGCATAACCTGTCAACTGATTATTTTGAAGTTGAACTCTGCATAATGATGAACAGTTTCTCAAACTTGGTGGAATTGGACCAGAGAGACCATTATAAGCTGCAGTGAAATTGACAAGCTTACCACCTTTGCACACTTGAGGTGGTAAATGGCCAGTGAAATTGTTATAAGATAGATGAACAACAATAAAAGATGATACATTTCCAAACTCTTGGCAAATCACCATGTAAATTGTTACGGTGAAAGCGAACACCAGTTAGATTGGTCAATCTACCAATGCTAGGCGGAATTATGCCTGAGAGATTGTTTAAAGCCATCGAGAGAACACTTAGATTTGTACAGTAACAAAGGGATTTTTTTTTTTTGACCAACAAGTAACCAAGAGATTGTGGTACAGACCCCCAAAAGTTGTTCCCTTCTAGAGATAGATATTGGAGCTTGGAGAGCATTCCAATTCTTTCTGGTATACTTCCACTGAGTTTATTATATTGAAGATTGAGAACAAGAAGATTTGGTAATGCCGAAAAGTTCAAGTTTTCGACGGTACCTTGAAGACCAGTACTGTTCAAGTTTAGTTCAATGATGCTACCTGAAAAGTCAATTGATTCCACGCCATGAACATAGGGCAAGAGCTTTACTGGAGTTAGCTTGTGATGGAGTGACCCATGAATCCAAAATTGGTTGGTGATTTGAAAGACTTTGTTTCCATTTGAGAAGAGCTTCAGATTCTGTAAGTGCTGCTAAAGTGATAGTGCATAGTGACCAGAAAACTATGCAAGTAATAAGAGGAATTAGAAATAAGGTAAAGATTTTATGTTGGGCCATGTTTGTGAATGTGCGTGCATGTTCAAAATCAAACATGAACTGAAAAGAAGGATGGATGAAGATGAAGTGAACAGTGAAGAAGAAATGGAAGCGAAGTCGGTGACGGCACTATACCTCCGAGGCACACAGATCAACAAAACGGCAAGAGAGAAGAAGACTCTAGACCTCATCATGCATCACGCCACACGAACAGTGTGGAAGAACAGAGGAGGAAAATATTTAAGAGAATGGTGAGAGACTGGAAATTGAGACGGACAGAAACAGAGGCAGAGAGAAGGGGTTGGGTGAGATTTTCTTTTTTATTTCATTTTTGGTTGTCGCTTTTTTTTTTTGTTTTTTTTTTTTTTCCTTGGACCAACATTGGTCATTGCTTAAGATCATCCACGTGAAGAGAGAGGATGATTGGGAAAAGAATCCAAGGGACATCAATGATTAAAAAATAAAACAAGATGGCACGGTTGGGTCAGTCAAACTATCAATTGATTTGATTTTGATTTGGTCAGCATGTAAAAATTATTTTAAAGATTGAGTTAAGTTGAATTATTTTGATCGATGGTGGAATTAAAAATCAAAATTAAATTGAGAATTGAATTTGATTTTTTAAAATTGGACTATTTAAAAAAAAATTTAAAATTTTTTATTAAATTTTTTAAAAAATGATTAATTTTTTTAATTATTTGATGTTATATTATATCATGAGGCTTGTAACTTGTTAAGTCATGATAAATTTAAAATATTTAGTTTTATTTTTAAATTAAGTAGCAATTTTATATTTATTTTTTATATTTAAATTATTATATACTTAATTAATTTTTTATTTTATTACATCACCAATTTGATTATTGGTCTAACATGATTAAATCATACGAATCGTAAATTGCTGAATTTCTCGATTCAATATTTGATTCGGTTATAAAAACATTAGGAATAACTAAAGAAACCATCTTAAAAGAGGAATGGAGGAAGGTTTCATTTTTGAAGAATTTAAGAACAGTTAAAAATTAAATTAATAATAATTATATTTGATAAAAAAATTATAAAAAAATTAATTAAAAATATCCATTTAAAAAATAAATATTCAAGAGTTTTAATTATATATAAAATATTTAAATTTTAAATTTTAAATATAGCTCCCATATTATAACTATGATATTTATTTGTAATTGTTTAAATTTATTTCTATATTTTTTAAACCAAATTCTATAGATAACTTTATTGTTAATAATTTAATTTTTTAGGAGCAAATTCATTTTCTCTTTTATTTTTTTCCATAATAAATGGTAGAGTTGAAAGATATCCAAATATCAAGTCTAGAATTTCAACCCTATGCACCTATGAAAATGAGTTGTTATTCTCTAATAAGTTCTTGTCAAAAAGGCGAATAAATTATTGTTTATAAAAACTGACATTTGTAAATATAAGCCCATTTCATCTTTTTTTTTTAAATCATAAAATTTAAAATGAGTTGTTATTTTTAAATGGATTATTGTTAAAAGGCGAATGAATTATTGTTATTGTAAAACCAACACTTATAAATCTAAGCCCATACCATCATGTTTTTGAAATCGTAAAATTTAGAATGGATTATTATTTTTCAATAGATTTTTGTTAAAAAATGAATGGATTGTTGTTAACATAAAACCAACATTTGTAAATCTAAACCTAGTTTAAATTTGTTAGAGTGAGAATAAATTGTTGTTAATATCAAATATGTTGTTGTCAAATTCCTGATAATAATTTAGGAGCAATTCAATCTTTTTGACAACAAAATTAATATCAATTAAGGACTAATGTATTGCAATAAAATTTGCAAATCTATTGACCTTTAAATGATATAAACTTCCTCGAGAGATCCTTAGTTGATATTTTTCCAACTTAATATGCATTCCTAATCACCACATTCTTATACCAAGCATTCCTGTATATGATTGTTGATTATTAAAATAATATATTATTATTAAAATAACGGGTTACTACAGTCCCCCCCGAGTTTAAATGTGCACTAACCTCATGTCTCCATCATTTTGACATTTGAAATAGATTAATTAGCTAGTATAGTTGGTTCTTTGAAAATGATAAGCATTCCATTATGCTGAAAAAGTCACTATTTCATATATAGCTAAATCCATCTTTAATTTCCATTAGAATTTTTTTTGGGGCCAAATTTTCCATTGAAATATAAAGCATGGTTTTTCCAATATGACTCCCCCAAATTCAAAATATAAATCCGTTTTTCCATTGAAATGTAAAACATGGTTTTTTATTATAAAAATATTTATCTTTTTAGTCAGGGAAAAGTTATTTCATATTATATATACTTATCTTCTTAGATTCTTAAAACACTAATATTCAATAATACTTTTCTTATTTTATCCTCAGAGGCATTAAAATATTGTTACCACATTAATGAGATATCATCTACATAAATGAGAAGCAAATTTTTGATAAAGTATATCATGTTTCGACATATTAATCACTTCATCTCGTTCCTTTAACAAGTTATTTCCACCAATCTCATTGAAGTAATATTAAATAGACAATAAACCAGATAAAGAAGACATGTTAAAGTCTTATGAGATCCAGGCATAGCAGAATTTACCTGACTACTTACACGAGTTTAGAATACTAGAGTCTAAACTAAAATACATAGCAAATACACCAAAAAGAAAAAAGAGAGGGAGAGAAAAAGTAAACAATAAGAGAAAATTGTTTGCTTTGGGATGAATTTTTCCTTCAGCCACCCGTTTTTATTTATAGTGAAAGGAGGCTACCATAGACAGTGTTAATTCACATCATTATGAAGGGAATAAACTAATTGGAATAATCCATTATTGAATAAAAATATTTCTCATTTTGAAATTCAATCAGAAACTAATCTCATATTAATTCATAATTTTGGTCAACTCATTATTATTACAATAATGTCAAATCCACTAATTGCTCTGACATAATGATCCGATTACCATCAAGGGTGGATCTATAATTCCAACACTCACCAATACCAATGCAAAGAAAAATAATAAAAGAAATAAAAGTGTGTAAAATTTTACATATGTTCTTATATTAAAAAAATTTAAAAAATAATATCATGTTACTTTTCAACTCTGATGAAGGGTAATTTTAAAAACATATTTTAAATATTATTTAAAAAAATGCACTGTGACTTATAAATAAAATTAAATAAATCTTTTAAAATGTGCTTTATAAATGATATAAAAAGGGTACATTTTTAATTCAATTTGTGCAATAACCTTAGAAGGCAAATATTTCGAAATCGATGGAAGGATGGTGTTAGCTTTTGTTCCCATAAATAATCACAAAGTATTATAACATGAACAAGGAAGCATTAAATGATTAATCAACAACTACTCCTGCCAAGAAACATGCAACGTCATTTCCACTTCACAAAATGATGTGGTCCCATGCATGCACGAACTTAAAAGTTCCAATTAAAAAGATTCAGCTATAAACATTATGTAAGGATCTTTGATAAAGAGGCAGTTAGCCAATTAGTTAGCCTCATGTCAAGGAACAAATGAAACACTAATAAAAATTATCCAAAAACCTTGGTTGCAATGATATTATCGAGAACAGAACTTCAATAATGAGCACAATAAATCCATTTAAATCATCTGAGTGATGCTTAATTCACATGGTCAGTCGAGATGAAGGGTTTGTCTGTAAACATGAAAGAACTAATTTCGCAATCAAAACCACTTCCTTCAACTTTTTCTCTGCTCTGTGGGGGTTGATAGACGTGGGTCTAAAATCTCATTGAAGTTAATGTACTTTTGAATATTAGAGGCCATTGTATATGGAAAATCAGATCACCATCCAGGATATAATGTCAAAACCCAATAGACCAAAACTAAACCAATCATCGCCTCGATGAAAGATCTTTTTGATCCTTAATACAAGACATTCTGGAAATACCTTCTTGCAAATTTTAAAAAGAAATTCAATATTATAATTTCTAAGAAAGCTCTTCCCACATACTCCTCCAGTCCTATTTATACAATAAAAAGAGAAAATTTGTTAGTCATTTATAAATTACGTCATTAGTTTTTTTATTATAATTTTCTCCTTTTACCCTCTATTAAATATTGGATAAAGAAGTATTGTTATTAAAAGATATAAGTAGAAAACTTAGAATTAATGAATTTTAATATTTTTTTTAGTTTTGGCAAGACATAACAATAAAAGTGAATTATAAATAGAACTAAGAGAGTATCAAATAATTTATAACTATTTTTAAAATTTAGGGGAAAAAAATGAAAAGTAGTTTAATTTTAAGACAATTTTATTACTCTAACTAACTTACTTGCTTTATTAGTTTTGGTAAATTAGTTAAAAGTGGCTTATATATAAAATTGGAGGAAGTATATATGCTAACCCTGCATCAATTAAAATATTACTTGACACATTTGTAAGTAACGATAATTAACAAGAAGCTTATGTTATTGCTTTTGTTGATTGAAACAACATAGACAAAATGTTAAGGTATCCTAACTTTGTGTGTGTGGATCCAAGGCAGCAAAGCAAGTGAATCCTAACGACAGACATGAAAGCTAGCTAGAAAGCTTGAGTCCTTATTCATGAATATATATGTATATATATATATATATATATTTTCAAGAACTTTGGTACATGTCTCAAATAGAGTTACATATGGCTTAATTTTCTTGTGGTGTATAGTTAGATGTGTACAGTTAATTAAAGCAGAGTTCTTTCTTATATTACATTATTGGCAAGAAAAGTTGAACTCCCTGTAAAGAAATAATGAATAATTTAAACCATACATGTAATCTTTTTCATAATTAAAAAAATATCACACATAATTTTGGAGTTTAATTATGATTTGCCTTTGTTTCTGAATGATCTTGTATATGTTCAAAGCAGGGTTCCCATTTTATATTCCATTGGCGAGAAGACTTTGATTAAGATTGAATAATTGAACAATTTAAAATCATGTATAAACTTTGGAGTTGTTATTTAGGTTAGATGATTTTGACATAAAATATAAAGTAGCGAATAACTTTGTCCCTTTCAAATTTTAACTAGCAGGTGACGTTAAAGTACTATTAACGAAATGAGCAAATTGAAAGAGTATTCATTGGTCAAACCCAAAAACTTGACGGTATTTTAGTTTAGGGAGAATCGCATTTAGAGCCCTCAGAAGCAAGAAATTTGTAGAGGAGACCTAATAGAATCTAAAATTATTTTGAGAGTCCAAAGATCTCATTTGCAATTATA